AAGTCTGTATTAAAGGAAGAAGACTTCCACACCTAATAATAGTTATTATTGATATCATCAGTCCAGAAAGGTTGATTGAAAGGTGAAAGGAACATTTGTGGAAAATATTGTGGAAGAAATGGAAAACTGTGGGGTATTCTCTCCTTGGGAAAATTTCTTGCTTAACTTCATGCAACTGGTTTGTAACTTGGGTAGAGGATTCATGCCCTCATGATGAAAACACACTACACACTAGAAGTTCTCAACAACCACAAAATTCTCTAGCCTTTTACATGCTTCCTATGTTTCTAGCTTTAGCAGTTTCTAAACAAGCTGAATAGAAAAACGACACCTTATACACAACAGTATTTCATGTCCAATTTGGTCACTTTCCATGACAGAGGTTAGGCAGAAGCAGCTGATTTTCTAACACATCCTCAAGCTAGTGCACAGTCTTTATCTACTTCAACTTATTAATGAATTTGTAGATGTAGAGGCCAGATTTGACATAGGCATGTCATTGATTTCTACAAAAATATAACATAGTCACTTATTTTCTCTCTCTCCCCTATAAAGTATTGCATTTGCATTTTTCATTAACATAAACAGGTCAGCCAAATGTTTTAAATGTTCAAACGAATTCAGAGCTTAATAATGCAGGTAAATTATAAGAATGGTTCTCTTCAGCCTACAGAGTACTTTCTGGAAAACGGGACACTACCCATCTCACCTTCCCAAATGGTCCTTTAGCCACGTATATTTGCTGATGTCACACCAACAAACATCCAGAAAAATCTGTGAAAATTGTATTTTACCTTTTATAATCCTAAATATATTTAAGAACTGAGGTGGCATCATGGAATCCTTTTCCATTTTCCCTACTTCTAATTCACAAGCATTTTGCATGAAATTCCATTAGTATTCAAGTTTCCATTAAAAACTGTAAAAGCTTTTACAAATAGTGAATTGCAAATAACTGACTTCCACTGTGTCACTGCTCTAGTTACAGAATACCAAAAGATGAGACAAAATACCAGACAATTCTTCGGAAACATTTTCACTCATTCTAAATTACACACAAATTTAAATAGGCATCTTATACAAAGGTAAGGTTTCCAAATCTGCAGTTCCACTTATCATTCTTTTTGCAAGAAGGTTGCGCTCAATTGCAGTTATTGACAGAAGATGTAATCACAGTTAAGGTGTAAGGTACTAGCCTGAATAAAAGTCAATACAGAAACTTACAAAATGTGCGTAGTAGTGTAATGGCTGGCTTTGCAAAATGAAAAATCTAGCCTTTCCTCCTTGAAGCCAAAATTTTCTGTGCTCAGTCTGTACCTTATCTCTTCACCTAAAGCATAAATTGCCTGACCTCAAAAGGCAGTATATGCTAGCAAGTTTTTATTACAGGGAGCACATCAAAAAGAAACGAGGGAAATCTTGTCATCTAGTAAAAAATCCCCAAATCTAGTAAATAAATTCCCCAAACCAAATCTTAAACATAAAACACCAAGACTTGATAGTAGGAAACCTCTCCTGAAAAATTTGATTTGTGAATATCCACTCACTAAAGAGTATCAAAGACTACAGTCAGTCACTTACTCATTTTAGCTATATAACTTTCAGTGTACCAAAGAATGCATTTAATTGACATTTCTGAGCACTAAAATATTGTGGCAAGAATTAAATCCCAGCAGGCTTCACCTAGGACTCACTGGTGGATTAGAAGGAATTTCAGAAACCAGGCTAATCCTCTTCTCTGTCACATAGTCTACCAGATATTCAAAAGCAATGAGCTATGGGCCAGTGCAATACTGCAACAGCATTTAAAGTAATTGAAGAAATATTGACAGCAATCAGATTCATTTAAGATTCTTCATCTTTCTACATATGATCCTTCCCCAGCAGAAAATTAATAGCTCAGGAAGATGTTGCAAATGGATGTAAAAATCTGTTTCTTGCTGAGGAGCTCTGCCACATTACAGCCTTTTACAGAAACACAAAGCTAAAAATAAAAGGAAGAATAATACTTCTGTGTTCAGAAAGCACTGATTCCTGATCAGCTTCTAGAACTTCCTAGTAAATTATGAGAATCCTTGTTGAAGGGATTCCTGCAGTCTACAGATTTCCTGTCATTTGGCAATAGTAGCTACAAAGCCAAGTAAGATTCTTTTCACATAAAACAACTGAGACAAAAAGTACCCTCAATTTCCACAATACCCTGTTTTTGTAGATGGTTTTCTATTTCATCAAGCTGAAGATAATTTAAGAGATTCTGCATTCTGGTTCAACCATGCACTTCAAAGCAAGAGATGAAAGGAGAGAGGTGTACAATGATGAATTACTTCTCAAACTGCATTTCTGCCCATCCTTTAAGTTTGCTATAATTTATAAAAATACAGCTTGGCATTTCAGGAGGAAAAATTTCCTTCCTCCCCCCCCCCGCTATCTAAAACATGTATCTTCCATAAAAAGGCTCTGAGTGAAAATTACGACCAGCTGTAATATTGTGTTTCTCTCTGCTACTGAGGGAACTTCTAACAGCAGTGAACTCAGTAACTAAGGGTCCAGATTTTGCAGCATGTACCTCAGGAGAGTTAGAATTGCTGTAACTCTCACTTCTGGAAAGAAAACAAGCTTCTTCTGAGCAGCCATGCAGGACAATCTCAATCTACGTCATTCTACAAGAATTTCCACCAATATGTACAGAAATAAATACCCATTGTATTTTCAATAGCTGCCTAAGGGATGCCTCAAGCAGGCAGGCAGAAAATTAAGTTAAACAAGAAATCCAGACAGAGTTTTGCTAGTGGCAGAGGAAGAAAATTCTTCTATCAGTCTCCAGTTCTGCTGCAGATTGTTATAGACCTGGCAACAGGGCAGGTTAAAAAAAGTTCAATTAACCTGCCTTTCTGCCTTAGACTTCTGGTAACCAATTCTGAAATGTCAGAAGGTATTTTAAAAATAAAAATTAATTTGTGCCGCCTCAAATGTGTGGTGACAACATGAAATAAGGTTTCAATTTTTACATTTAAATAACGTTTATGCCACCTCTAGGAATCTGCTTTAAAGGCTGAAACCAGCAATCAGAAAGTATTTCCATTAACCAACCAATAAAATACTTCCTGAATTGTGTTTTTTTTTTTTAGAACCTGTGATGTATACCACAGTGGTATACAGTATTCTTCCTGGCTATGACACATTCAGCTACACAGCTCTTATTAAAAGAAAGGAGAATTAGAAACCCAAAGTGCTGGAACAAAGAATTACGCCCATGCCAAAGCACAAATGCCTAAACTGACTATCAGTGTGACCTCCAACTTTAAATGGTCAGGTCACAAACAGAACACACTCCCCCCGCCTTACTCACCTAGATGAGAGATGATTTCTAAGCATTATTTTTACAGTCTTCCTTTATGTGCTGGATAAGAACATACTTTCAGTGATTTCTTTATAATCTGGTGGTAGAATTTTTACACAGACTTAGAAAGCCACAGCTGGTGGCAAGAAGAACAAGCTCGTGTCAAAGCAGCTTTCAGAGACAGAGTATATGCAGAAGGAAAACATCTGAAATAGAGCCCTGATATCCCAGAAAACTGCTGTCACTTAATAAGGTACTACCTGTCACAGGTACTGGAACAGCTGTCTGCTAATATGTTTTGACCTGTGGCTAATGGGAAGCATTTCCTACTGACATTTGAGCCATCAGCTGGATCCACTGAGCCCCAAAGGCTCAAATACAAGGACTCCTGCCAGTATTCCTACTGAATGTTTCTGACTAGTTGACACACTTGATTCAAGCAATTCAGCCTATAAGCAATTGTGGAAAATATTCAAATACTCAAAGGTATAGAGGAATAAAAAAATCAAAAGACTAACAATTCTGGATGTTATTGCAGAATGTTAAATGATGTCCCTCTTTTATGCTACAGATGAGGGAATTACTTTATCTAAACTATAATGAAACATGCAGAAATTAGAAATGAATGTCCATTGAAGTGGCTTTGTGCTAAAATGCAAAAAATGACAATTCGCTTAATAAACTGCTGGCACATTTGAAACTGAGTTTCATTGTAATCCCCACTGAAGACTTTTTCAGGCACAGTTTCACCAATTTAGTACTTTTAATACAACTCATTCAAGTATTGTAGTCCTCTCTCACCAGAGCAGACATTTTCAAGGAGCATCTGAAATGCAGGAATTCTGACAGAGAATGCAGACACTACCATAGTGGAAGCACAGCTATATACAGGATATATATAAATGGATCTGAGGTTTCAGCATTTAATGACCCTGCACTGCCCTTAACACTGGTACTAAAAGCAGAAAAATCTCTTCTATCTGCATTCATACAGTTGAAGAGCATGCCTCATAATGCGGGATCCTTCCCTTGTGCTTTACTTTGACACATCAAGAGATCAGCTCCCGGCATAGCCACCAGGCACTCCAGATCTGTCTTCCACGGCTGTAACACTCCCCACATGGACACTGTCAGTGTCCAGCTGCAGAAGGAGGTTTTCCCTTTAAACAAGGGCCGGGCACTGTGCCATTCAGACGACCCCGTGTGAAAGCCAGCTAGCTCCCATGGCTCACCTTTGCCAGCAGAGCCCTGAGCACCTTTCCATTAAGCCTGCTGGACAGGGAACCTGGATGGTCTTACCAGCAAAGCTGCAGCAGCTAAAAGCCCTGAGCACAGAACTGCTCAGCAGACACCAAAAAGGGCTGTACAGCTCTGCACAGCCTGCCGGGCTTGAAGGTGGAAACAGTAGCTGAGTTGTTGCCACTTCATCTTTTGATGCTCTCTCTCTCTCTAATCATCTCCGGGAATTCTTACTCACCTAAGAATTCTCCAGCTCAAAATCTTTTTGTTGTTGTTGGGCTTTTTGTTTGTTTGTTTGTGTTTTGTTTTTCTCCAGCAAATAAAAGACATTTCATAGGATTTTGGAAAAATCAAATGTATGTTTTAATGCATTCATTTTTCTGGAACCCTATTGGTCTTTAAGATAGAAGCAATGATTTACTATGCGTATTTTAGGGCTAATCCTTAAAGGAACAACCAAACACAAGTAACACTTAAAACAGTGAGAGGTATGCCAAATGCAAAAGTACTTCTATCATAGTAATAAGTAATGTCAACACTACAGCTGTAATGGGAAGTTCCAGGAACATGGTTAAACTAAATTCTTCTTGGCTCAGAGCCATGCAAATATTTCTTTTCCACATTCCCATCAATTACAGAGGTACAGTAAGTGTTTGTGTGCTTAAGTGCACTACTACAGGAGACACAAATAAGCCATTTTTCTTCCAGTGGTTGGAGCTAAGATTTCTATAGGATCAAATTACACATTTGGCAGATTTGAAGCATGCTCAGATTTTTACTTTTGTTGCATTACCATAAGCCACACCATAAGTTGATTTGAATCAACTGAAAAGAGGTAGTACAACTGCATGTCCTGTCCAGACTACACAGGTTTACAGTTTTCATAGAATAGTTTTTACTTCAATATTGGTACAAGTATTCACGGTTGGGAAAGCAGAGAACTATTACTGTTCACATGCAAACAATAGGAGGTATGTACCATGGGAGAAGTATTTTAATGAAAAATTATACTGTAGAGCTCAGTTGCCATTTTAAACACATATTTTAGACTGACAAATACTTAGACTTTATTAGGACAATTAATAAACTTAATAAAGAAAAGCTAACCAGGGGTATGTACACACTTAACACACTTTTTAGAGTGAAATAAATCACCCTGACAAGCACTGCCTTCCATCACTGACAGTCTATTAAAATGTGAAGACTGTAGAATTGCAATATGTATCTCTGTGTATCAGCTTAGTCTGCCTGTACCATGCATGTTTGTCTTCCCCTGAAATAGCCGCAAACCAGAGTATGAGTGCATTATGATAAAAACAAAATTACCCATTTGCTGAAGCTTCCAGTTCCATGTGGAGTGCACAACAAAGACACATCAGAAATTGAGTTTCTACAACACTAGTATAAAAAATAAACGTCCTATGGAATTAATAATTATCATTCAACATTAAAAATTATCAATGGAAACCATGTTTCCAGGATATTTTTCATCCATGTTTCAACCCTTCAGCCATTATGACCATCTTAGAAAAGAAATCAAGGTATTTCACCAAGATTTAAGTACCATCTTATTCCTTATTCATGTTCTGCCTGCTCTCACAAATTCTTTAAATGCAACTTTACTGGGAGTATCTGACCATACAAAGACAGCACCCAGCCAGATACACAGGTAGGGAGGTTAGGGAATACAGTTCCATTCTCTTCAAGCCAAACTGGTAAACTCCAAGAACTGAAAAGCCCAACTTTACACATCAGACTGCCACTGGCAGGAGGCTTCTGTCCAGTGCAAGGATGACTGAGAGGCAACTACAGCAGATAGAAATTGCTAAATGTGAAATTACTGACATGGTGATCCAGGAAAACAGTATGGTTTTATGGACAGCTTTATGCTGGATGGTAAAGAGGAACATATTTTCTTGAGTTAAATTTGATCTCAACTGCAGTATCAAAAGCTGTAGAATTATCGTATCTGTATGTTTTACGGTAAGCACAAAAAGAATTGGAATAGATTAAAGCTCTCAAATGTCACTATATTACAATGCCTTTTCACTGCAGTTCTGTTAGGTTTTATTTGCAATAATTTGCATAGTAGAACTAAAGATAGACCCTTATTTTACTATCACCTTTCACACAGAAAGGCAACTATTGCCCCAAACCCCTCCTGCATACCCAGCTGAAGAAATACTTCCTCCATCTAAAGGCGATAAAATTTACCCTTCCTTCACAGTAGCAAGAACAACCAAGGCAGGGAAACAGCTATTTTTTGAAAGGTGAGGAACAGCAGTGCTAAGAGAGTTCATAGTCCCTTTCAAAGTGACCTTTAAAGAAGTCTTTATCTCCAATTCTAGACAGCTGGTCTAGACTACTTACAATATAACCATTGTTTGGGTGCTGAAAGCACCAATCTAACCAGGCCACATAAGGTACTTCTAGCTCACTCTTCTCCTTTCCATTACACGCCATAAAATAAAATTTGAGCAGTGCAAAAGCTCTGATCTTCACCATCAGTGCACAAAGAAAGTGGCTGTATCCCATTTTGACCCCTCTTTCTGAGGCAGGAGTACCACAATATTTTCAGACAGAAGGATTACAACATATCAGTCTTTATAAGAAGTATTACTGAGATCACATAGTATTACATCTTAGCCCCCTGGTTGCAGATGACATATGGAAAGCGCATGGACTTACTGACAATTCTTTGATTAATTTTCTTAATTCCTCGTGCCCGTGCTTCTTTGCAATATTTTCTGGATCATCTCCATATTTATTGGTTATTTTGCAAGCCCATGTGGCCTCAGGACAACTGAGTAGAAATGCTGCAAGGCTCTTCAAGCCAAATCTGGCTGCACAGTGAAGCAGGGTAGGAAATTCTTCCAAATGGCTACCTGTATAATGGAAACAAAGCCTTAAGAAACAGAAGTTCTGCTTTTATAGAACACCTTCTTCTATAAATGTCTTTTGAACATCAGTGCTGTGGAATCACAGTTACCAAGCTCCCAGTATTGAACTAACACTCAAATAATTATTTTTTCAATTAACAGTTTTACAGTGCCTATACATATATCAATAAAGAGCCTTTGGTGTAACTGAGAAATCTCCTTTTTATCCTGACAGAGGTATTTTAAAGCACTTCAGTTCTATTGAGAAATAAGCTTTCTTGCAAAGGGTAGAAAATTCTACAGCCAAGACATGCTTTTGCTTAGGTAGAATATGTTTGAGTGGGACATTTGACATTTTTACAGGTTGACGATGCTAAGTTTTGGTATTAAAAATAACTTCTGAAAATTCACAGGACTACTAGACACTTGGAAAAATTTGCTTATCCCTGTAATGAAAAATCAGAGAATTTGAAGATTAATGTTTTAGATAAAAGTTTTTAGGATTCATTTGAAATATCATTATATCAATTTCTATCAATAACCATTTTTACATTGGAGAATGGGGACATTCAGTTTATCATTTCAGCATCTTCCTGCATTTTAACTCTATGAGCGACCACAAGTTACATACAACAACAAAGAAAAATAGTTCAAGCTTAAAAAATACTTCTCTCTGCATTCATTCTCTACTTTCTGATTACTTGTCGTTTGCTGTGTACCAACTGGTCTATAAATCAGTACGCAGTGTATCTCTTCTCCAAGCATGCATCCAGCCTGCTCCAGGCACTATCAACGTTTTGCACCCTGAGGGTCTTTCCTCAGTGCATAAAGGAATGCTCCCCCCAGATTGCTTTGAGCCTGGCTCCTGCTAGGGTTCAGCTGACAGTACCTGATTCATCTTATTCTACATCACTGTCTGCCCTCTATGCAATTCCAGTGCTTTACTCATTCCCAGAGTTTCTTTCTTGAAGAGCCCCAGTCTAGTTAATTGGGCCCTATAGAGAACCCACTCCACTACATACACTGCTCTCCCCTCAACCTTTTCCATCTTTTCTGTAACTATTTTGAGATGACAGGAGAAGAGCTGCACATGATACACAACTGTGGGGTGAGCCATGTAATTCATGCATTGCCATAATTGTGTCCTGTTTTGTTCTCTATTCCTTTTCTAATAATTCCTAGTATTTCATTAGCTTTTTGATCTGCTGCCTAGCAACAAGTTAATGTTATCATGGAACTGCATGGTCTTATTCCTCAGCACTAATAGCCTGCTCAAATCCCCTCATCTTCGATGATACTGTAGGACTGCTTTTTTTCACTTGCACCACTTTGGTTTTACCTGGAATGAATATCATCTGACTTTTACTGCATAATTAGTAAATCTCTAATTTTCCACCCCCCATTAGCCTTTTCCCTTACTACTCTGAACACTTCATGTCATTAGCAAAAAAAGACTTTTCCCAACTGCCTACCTCCTGGTTTTGGTCAGTTCTTTATCCATGCCAGTCAGTTACTGACTTAACCAGGTTCACTGACTCTTAAAAAAAAACTACAAGAAACTCATAAAGCCAGACTTCACATCACAGAAGACTTATTAACAGTTCTATTAGTTTGTCCCATAGAGATAACACATTAACCTGCTTCTAGGTCACAAGGTTAACTGAGAAATTGGGTTTTGGCATCAACTCCTAGTACTAAAAAATGAAATATTGCATTGTTAGAAACACAGATGTTCTACTTCAAATTTTTCTCAGACTTCTTAAAGAATGCCAGTTTTCTGGCATTCTGGTAATTTCTTTGTGTTCATCCTGCCTGTTTTTGCAATAACTTTATGGTCCCTTCAACTCCAGACAGTCTATTTTCACATGTCTCCTATCTAGGACCACAGCTTAGGAATTTACAGACTTTCTTCTACCTTTCTTGAGTTTTATTTTATATCCCTGTCATCACGTGTCCTACAGGTTAGCCAGCACATTTTCACCCCAAAGTGTGCTGGAAGAAGTTATGACTCCCTTCCAAAATCTCTTAGCTGCCAGTCTTTAACAAACTTTCTAATTTTTACATTCTTCTGCATAGCGAAATTTAGCTCAGAAGTGGTGAATTTGTCTATCCCCCCTGCCAACCCTTTTTGCTCCAGCAGAATCATAATATGGGAGAGAGTAAAATCTCATCCCATCATTAAATATAAGGAATAAGAGCAGTTCCCTGGAATAGGCACAGCTAAGTACTAACTGAGAAAAAAACGTTAGGACAATTTTGACTGCATTTTGGACAAAGAATATTCCAGCACTATCCCACTCCAGTATTGTTTTGACAGAAGGTATGTGAGTTGGCTACAATTTAATCAAAAGTCCCATTAACAATCCTAAATTGATTTTTAAACAAATTTAGTGTTGCCTGACTTATTTCCACCAGGCAAAGAAAAATCTAATCAAGAAACTGTAAATACACAGCACCTGTGTAAATCAAGCCACTTGTTTTAGAAGCCTTGGCAGGTCGAACTTCCATCAACAAGAGTATGTGTTGTAGTTTATAGTCCCTTGTATTTGCAGTATGCTTTAAAATCCTTTGGGCTACAATAAGCAACCTTAAAACTGTATAGCAGCTAAGGTTTTTGAGACAAGTAGATGCTACACTCAATATTCCTCAGCATTTTAATTAAAGTTGCACAAACTGGGCTTGATTCTGTCATTTGAAGAACTATGATTTTTAGCCCAGAGTATAGGCAATTTACTTATTTTTGTTTAGATTTTTCTAAACGTAGGAAAAAATAGGATTCTTTTAAAAGAAGTGTTCAAACCTGAGCTAATATTTTTAAAAACTTTCACAAATCCTCAAACTGCTTTTCTTAGTACTTGTGGGTTTTGCTATTTTTTTAGATGTCCAGCAATGCAATAGCTGTTGAGCAGTCATTTTGAAGACGAGTAAATTTTATAAACTTTACTCAATAGTTTGCACCCTGTTAGGAGACACTAGAAGGTCAAGTATAGTCAGTAAAAAGAGCCTTAACACAGTATTAATAACATGTTCCAAATGAATTTCAACTCGTACTAATGAAACCCCAAAAAAATTGTTAGAAATCTGAAAGGCAATTAGGTTTATACTACCAATGGACTGGATGATATGATTTCTTCACCAAGAGAAAGAGTAGTAATTGGCATTCATAAGCCTGCTCTAGGCAGGTATATACCTGCCTAGAATGCATTTCTGCACTCTTAAAATAACACAAAACAGAGGTATTCCAAAATTCCTTCAGCTCTTGAGCTGTTTTTTCTGGTCACCACCAAACTCCTTCCTAGCTGAGTTTCATATTCAGGCAGGACTCCTATGCTTACATACTTTGAACATTACAGGAAACTAAACGAAATACCTCAGCCAACAATGGAGAATGGTAAAAAGAAATAAATTTATAAATCAATTTCCTAAAACAAACTTTTTTTTATATTGCTCCTTGTAGTAAGCAGGAAAAAAAAGGGTTGCTGCCAGGCAGGAAAACTTTAAAAGCAACATCGGTGGTATTGTGAGATCTTCTACATAAAACTCAAAAAAGAAATGAGTGGTTCAAATGGACAATTTTAGTCTCTTCTGCTCATGAACCTGAAGTCTGGTGGCATCAAGTTGTGACAAGGCAAAAAGTGATTATGAGAATGCACAGATGACTGAGCTTCACTAAGTTAAGACAGTTCTCAATACTCTGACTTTCAGGCACTCAACTGGCAGCATGATGCACTGACACAAAGCAGGATGCAATTTTCCAGGGCGAAACGTTCCCAGTCTTGCTGATAAAACCCTCTCCCAAAGCACTGAACTACAATTGTTGGCTTTGTAAATGCTGTACTGACAGCAGAGATGGCTGCTGTTGTTTCAGTAACCTCAGCAACACTTCAATCACCATTTCTGTATACAGCTATGGTGCCAGTAGTCACTCTCTGCTAATAATAGCTAATAATAACTAGCTAGTAACATAAGCTAATAGCTTTGCCTCCCATGTAGTAAAAGGAAAAAGATGTCCTTGGCCTCTCAGAAATTTCTCCCCCAAATACATATGTAATTATGAAATGCAGTAAAGTTAATGACCTTAAAAGGGATGATTGAAGCTTCCTGGTCTTTGTTTTTTTGCCCTCATTCTTCAAAGAGACACCACAAACTGCTTGAATCCCTCCCAAGTCACTAGGAAAAGATGAAGAACTTCTCTCTGTATTTTCTACAGCAGAAATTAATGATGACTATGGGTACCACTGTCAACATAACAGGAAACAAAAGCCCACTACAAGATCTATTTGTGGGCTTTTTTTATTATAACTATTCTTTAATTGCCAATTCTCAAAATTGAGCTGAACTCTTAAGATAAACTAGATGTTCTGCTGTAAAGAAAATTCCATCATATCATGTTTAACTGCTATAAATAAAGTTATGTATTCTACACAGTAGGAAGAGGCTGTAATTATTTGAAAGCCCACATACTTCAGGTAGAAAATACCATTCTTGATCTTAAAAGTTTGTCACACTGAATTCGTCAAAATTGCTGGAAATTTTGTCTGCTGTGAAACTGGAACTACTGGCACATTTCCGCTAACTATACAGAACTGAGCAAAGGTAGTAGTTATAAGGGTAAAGTAGTGAACAGCTTTTACTCATCATTAGTCCTTTAATGGAGAATGTTAGTAAAGAAAAGCTGTGGCTGTTTGGCACCTTCACAAAGAACTAGTTAGCTGATGATGACAAGCTGGAAGGAAAGGTTAAAAGGAAAGTCCTCAAGCAGCACATTTTTAAGTGCTTTAAGGTGGCTTCTTCAACTTTCAACTTACATTGAGGCCAGTACTTGCTTTTAATTAAAGTACTATTTGACATACACAAGGTTAAGAGGGAACTTCTGGGGTTTTTCTGTATATTTTGTCCTGTCATAATCCTTTCTCTTCTCTGCAGAGAATTCTGGAAAACCTCAGTTATAAAACTGAGCATAAAATCTAATATTACTGTATTGTAGTATTCTCTTAGCCTGTGGGAATTTTCATAAAATTGCAGTAAGGAAACAGAGCAGCCTACAGTGATATTTCTGCACATCTTGTAAGACACCCTTCTTTTATTTCCCAAATTATTGAACCAGGACATGGTTGTTTTTCTTAGCAATTTAAACAGCGCCTAAGATGACTTCTACAGTGCCAATACCAGTGCATTCTCCCTCTCCCCATTATTCTGCTAGAAGCTAAAAACCCAGACTATATCTGGATTACAGAAATCAGGATAGGTTTGCTATCTTGCTAGCAGATTTAGGTGATGAAAAACACTGTTTTCTACGAAGTAAATTCAAGACTTTCAATAAACATCAGTAGTTGAGTTTAATTAGAGAAATAATAATAGATAACTTGTAGAAAATGAAAGTTAACTAATAGTGGAAAATGAAACAGGTCTTCCTCAAGTAAACTGTTATTTTTTGGACAGGAAACATTGCAACAAAAATTACCAAATCTGAAGATTCTGAGAATCAGGGCTTGCAAAGAAGAAACACATTCCTCAAGAAATATTTTGAAATATGCGTTTGGATTTGCAAGTGTGTTTTGACTGGAATCTATTACCAGAATGTAAAGGAATCATTTACATACAATATACCCTGAAATCAATTCAGTATGGAATGTACAATATTTCAGAAAGTATTTCCACCTTTAGTTACATTCTTTCACAAGGGATGACACCACCACTAAAAATCCCAGACAAAGCTTTGGCTTTGTCTTCAGTTAAGGCTGTTTGTTAAACAAAATATTTTCCAGTGGTGTCTATTCAGTCTGCATTTAGCTCCCTCATCTGTATCAGAGTTAATTTTTTGCACCTTTGCCACCTATCTTGACTTTACCAGCCTAGACACTGACTGCCCACAAGTACTGCATTATCATACTAAAAAAATGTTGAACTCCTATTTTGGGGATGGGAGTTAAATTATGTAAGCAAACATGCATCTCATGATGTTTTGATTTAAACCACTGTCTGTATAGGAAAGCATCAAACTGCATTTTAATTTCATTACATCACATGCCTGTTGCATTTACTGTCACACTCCCAAGTTTTTAATCACACAGCAGGACACTCTTTGAGAAGTCAAACTATGCAATTCATTAGTTATCCAATAAATTAATCATAAGTTCTTCATTCTTGGTTCATTTTGAGGTTATATTGAGATCTTTCAAGTGCAGCAATTTATCAGCTGTACCCTGATGTGCAAGAACGTTCAAATGAACCATCCATGTAGAACAATCCAGAGAAAAGTTTCCCTTCCCTATGTCTCATGCTGAAAGCTTGTGCTCCTCTCATCCACTACTGGACATGTCTAGTGGTAGTCTGGGATGCTTTTATGGGAGTCAAAGACACAGGTTTATATACCTTTCAGGCAGAAGAGGGATGAGAGTCTAAGCCTCCCACATTCTGAGTACTCCTGGCACTGCAAACACATCTTTTTATCATGAAGAATCTCAGCATCTAACTTTGCACCTTCTTTCTGGGCCATACATCAAAGCAGTTCATTTTAAAGTCACTAGTGGCTCAAGCAGTCAACTTGCTCTTGAAACACAGACTTTTTTTAGGGCCATATCAGGTTGGTTAACATTATTCTCAATATTCAAAAACATCACCAGATCTAATAGTTATTTGAGAAGTGAAAAACCTTTTGCTCATCAACTAACATTTGGAAAGACTCTTGAATCTGTGTTATCCACCCCCATTCTACAGTCTTGCACAGGAAAATGTCAAGGATAGGCATCTCATTTATTTGCTTTCACTAACTTTGACATTTAAGTTCATTTTTACGTTACAAGGTGAATCATGTTTATCTAATACAGAGAAGTGAATTGCACCAACAAAAAAGGAAAGGAAATATGATGGCAATCCCAGTAGTGCTACCTTTAAAACTTGTTTGTATTTGGTTTTGAGAAACTGTAGGCTTACTGATTATAGAGACCTTACTTCTTGGTCGAAACCAGAGTCCAGCTAAACAAAACAGAATTCAAGCAGCATCCTGAACACATCTTTCTCAAGTATTTTAGAAAGAAAATACATTTTCTTGGGTATTGTTTTCCCCCAAAAGTTTCTTTGAAAAGCTGATGTTTAAAATAACATCATAATGATGCTTTCAAAACCCAAGCTAAATAACCACACTCTTGGTTTACTGCAAACCAGTTTGAATCCCTAGTAAGTGGTTAATGAATTCAACTAGGGCCCTCCATTTGGTACTAGCAGCTTCTGTTGATTCATGACTGAATTGTACATATAATGTACCTACTTTATGGAGAAACCCTATTTTAACTCGCTGGGATACCTTCTTTAAAAAATTAAAAATAACAAAATTATCTTTTTGCCAGAAGTATTGAAAACCATTAAGTGCATGGGTACTAAAAGTGACTGGAGAAGTTTAGTGCTGTTCTAGGATCAAAAGCCGTCCATTCTCTTCAGATAGAGACAACTTTCAGATTTTCTCCATATTTGGAAAAAGTTTAAACTGCATTGCAGAAGAGCAATTAGTAAAAAAGTATCGTGTACAGGCATCTCCATATGACTTTCATGGTTTTCTCTTTAAGCATAAATATGCTCAGCTGTAAAGCTGTCACTTTCCAGTTAATCCAAAGCTGATCAAAAATTCAGAGAAGTATAAATACAAAGTACTGACTCAAAAAGCAATGATTTACAGAATTCTTTCTCCCATTTTTTCTGCTTATGCTGTCTTTATTGTGGATTCTTCCATTTCACTAGAGGCTTTCAATACTTAAGGATTGTCTTATTAACATTTATAAATAATAACCATAGCATCAGTAAGAAAAATCAATACATAGAACAAGTGACTCACTAGCTTGGTGATGGTGTTCTTCTTCACTTTGGAATGGGCTGAATTCGTAAGTAGATATTTTGCTTTTCAATAATGAAGTCAGAACATTGTCTACTTTCTCTACAGAAGAAAATTTCAATGCCTACTTAAAGGAAAGAAAAAACAGAAAAAATATTAGTGCAATTGTTGCATACATATTTTTAACTTTATCCTGAGAGTGATGGTGAATCAAATTACTCAAAACAGTATTATAGCAAACTCTTTCAGTAAGAGCAGAAGGTTTTTTGAAAACTAAAGAAGAGATATTTTAACACAAAAGAATCACGAAAACATGATCCAGCTGTACATAAACATGCATTATAACATATAAAGTTCAGCCATGACTTAAAAACTTCTGGATGAAGTGCAAGGACAGGAAGATCTGTGTTCTACTACTGCAGTAATTCAGGGTCAGTTTAAAGACTATAGTAGCTCTCTGTTACCCAAAACCTTTACATTGAGATTGTGGACTTGTCTAGGTAGGAAACAGCTTCAGTTCCATCAGCCAAGACATAATACTGTTGACAGCACAAGAAACTGCTATCAACCAGAGAGATCAGCTTCCTACTAAACACACAATCTTTAGACAAGGGAAATCTGCACTCGCTGCCAGGAGACTTTTGAGTGCCTCTTTCTGGACAGAAAGTCAAAATCTATGCTTAACAACTTTCAAGGTAGCCATAGTTAAGTATTTCTTTGCCTGGCCTGTCAAGAGCAGCCTGAATACAGAGATTTGAAGGGTAAGGATATTTTACACCAAGTACTACAGCTCTAGTCCATTCTATGCTGCACTGGGCACCAAAAGGAGCTCAGCCACAGCAGAGAAGAGCTCAGGGAGAGTTGCTTTACTCTGCTCAGGGTCAGCAGCTGTGTGTTGAAGTTTGCCTTTCCACAGCTGGACTGTTGGGGGTCAAGATGATTCTGGGATGACTAAAATGGAATATCTTCAGACATGCTTAGCATATGAATTTAAAAAGAAAGTCTATGACTAATACGCTGAGGAGAAAATGACAGTGGGGTGTACTGACAAAACATGAAGTTTAATTCCCAAGACTGTTAAAAGGGAATAAGAAAAGTAAATATGACATGATCAGAAAATACTGAATGCAGAGGAAAGACATAATTTTAATCCAGATCCTACCAAGAATTAGAAGAGACATTTATGTAGGTAGGAAGCTAACAATATGATTGTTTATTTTTCCCATAATTAACCCTAGGCCTTTCAATATTAAGATACACAAAAACCATTGCATTTCTTTTCATAAATCACTCTCTTTCTGCGTTGTCACACTACATGCTCAATATTTTTTATTCAATAATTATGAATACATATAATAATCTTCAATAAGCAAAGCAATAAGCATTAAGAAAAGACTCCACCTAGGAAAAAAGATCTTTGAGGCTTGTTCTAGAATAAAAATCTAACCTGACTACAAGACTTACTGTGTGAATTCAGAAAGTATATGCAAAATCTCCCAAAATATCTACAAAACCTCCAAACTATTAACATGAATAACAACACTACGTTTACAAGTTATTAAGAGGAATAATAACAAAATTCAGTTAGGAAATCATTCTATTCGCTCTCATTCATAGTAGGTCTTCTAATATACATTATCATTACACTACCTTAACAGAGTTTTCAATCTGGAGTAGGACAAAACCACACAGGAACTAGCTCAGATGAGTGTATACAGCAGATCTTGTGTCATGAAGAAGGAGGTTCAAAACCATTGGTACTGACTGAAGCAACCGTGTAGAAGATATCCCACTATGCAGAGAATTAGAATTTAGGTGGGCTTCTAGACAAACTAAGCTTGAAGAAATATTTTTAATCTCCATTTAAAATGGCAGGGATACCCCCTACACATTGTACTCCCTATCTAACCCTCTCTGTTCAAAAGAAAATGAACAAACAAACAAAACCTTCCCCAACAATACCTACCTCTTCTCTTCTGTCCTGAAATTCCAGAGGAGCAATTTCAGACAGAATCCATTTCAGACTGTACTGTATATCCAAGATAAATAAGCACTACATAGTCTCTTTTCAGCAAGCATTCTGGGACATCTTGCCCACAAATCTCCTCTACTTTTTAATATGAACTGAGACCAAAACCCTTCCTCATCCTTTTTATTCAGTCAGAAACCTATGGAAGAAGAGCCTTAAGTATGCATAGCTCTTACTTCATGCTCAGACAACCAAATTTACATAGAATAAAACAGCATTTCACAAACTAAGATGGAACAAGTTCTTGAACTGAAAAGAGCTTCGGGAACTCATAGCAAAGTTTCCATACTTCAACAGGCCTCCCCTCCCACGACCAGCCTATCCATTTCCATGAATTACAAGTAAAGAACAAAGCACTTCTTATGTGAAGTTATCAGTGCAATTTGCTTCAAGTTTTCCACCCCAAGTTTTTGGTTTTTTTTTCTCTTACTCTTAGGATGTAAAATCTGAAGGCTTAAGCAACGATCTAACAAGCTATGCTGTTAACTAAACGGTAACGGGGAGCTTTGTTGTATTACTCTACAGCAAAGATACAAAAGGAAAAAAGAGATTAGCTAATTAAAAAAAAAAAAAAGCAGCTATGTCTTTTATCTCACATACAGGAGGGCCCGTTCCAGCACTTATGTGAAGATAACAGCTAAAATAACAGCAAACCAGAATTAGGAATAGGGCTGCTCTGCACTATCCAGCTCCATATCATAAAGGGCACCCTCCCGAGAGACAATTTGATTTAGAGACTTTTACTTTACTGCCCACTCCTGCCCCAGAGCACTCACAGACTCAAAGTCAGCTGTGTTTATATATTTTAAAGCACCCTACACAGATCTCTATAGGCCCAAGAAATCTTCCCAAGAAATATCATTAACGTTAAAAACCCAAACCTCCTAGGGAAGCTTCACCAAAGCCAACAGAAGCAGAACTGTATTTAAAGTTTAACTTATAGTTAAGCACCTTGCAAGAGAACTCTGAGCCATTCAGGAGTTTGAGAAAGCCCACCTTTTATCCAAATAAAGATTTATAACACTAAAGAAAATAGGCAATAGTGTTAGCTTCCCCCTATGTCCTTATAACCCCTCAGAACTAAGCTAGTGAGTTTGTAGATAATTCTTTCCATACTCTCTAAAGCACAGCCAACTATTCTCTACTTCATTACTTGAAATCCTTCCACAAGCCTTACTGCTTGTCCCAGTACCACCTCCACAGCTGTAGGCACTATCTCTATTTCCTCGTCCCTTTCCAGAGCAACAGGACACAGCTGTGAGCAGAAAAGCCTCAAGTGCTGATCATCACTCCTGGGCTTCCAAAAACATCCTTGAAAAAGGAGACCACCAAGCACGTATTTTGCTAGTTTTGTGAAGGAGATTATCTACATTCCTTAGTAACTGCTAATCAAGCCCTGAAAACGTGTGCCACTGAAACACAGCATCCACAGCCAGTAAATTAACACATTCCACACTGGCTTTGGCAGTACTAACAAGGTTACATTTACATAAAGATAAACTTCTTTGTTAGTTTTTACATATCAGACACTACTTTATATGCACTTCCATATATGCATATGCAATCCAGAGATTGCTTCTGCCAAAGAGAATGGGCTAGGCTTAAAACCAGTCAGGCACTTCTGACAATATTAGCCAGTGATAGATTATGGACAGCTTTCATACCTAGAGGAAGAGAAAGAAGCATTTTAAAATAACAGCTACTGATGTGGCTGAAAGATTGAAATATTAAATACAGTTTCAAATGAAGTATCTCTGGGTATCAGGTAGAGATGCATATGAAATATCACCACATATGTAATATAGCTATTTTACAAGTTTTCATAGAGAAGGCTGCAGTTTATTTTCATTCTTTTTTTCCAGTATGTTTAATGACTATGATAAAAACATCATTTAAGATACCAAGTATCTCACAATCACAGCAGTATTATTCAACCAAAGTTTGCCATAAAAACTTTCTCAATCTCTCTAGATGTTCTAAGTCACTCAAGCTAACATGAACTTACCAACTTCAGTAATAAGGATATGACCTTAGCTTCAATTTTTTTTTTATTTTGAAACCTAATAAATCTATGCCAGGAAATCCCAACACTAAATAACTGAATCAATATTTCCATTTGGTAGAAACTCTGAGAGGAAAATCAATACAGCATATAGATCCAGCAGAATGCTGAAATGATTAGCTGATGTAAAGTAAAACATGAAATATGAAAAAGTTTAATTATGAATTATATAAACCTTTAAATCAGTCTGTACATTAGGTTACTGTAAGAACATAAACTCCCTAAGAGAGTTTCTAAAATGCAGAGTTATGTGAAAGTGAGAGAACCAAAAATCATGACCTTTAGCCAACTTTCACCCTCCTAGTCAGCATTATGATTCTGTTATTACGATCCAAACTCTTCCTGCTTTAACAGTTCAGGTTTTTTTCTTTCAAAACTCATGCAAATTAACTTATTTAATTTTATTTATTTATTTCAATTACATTTAAATATTTATTTGGTTGTTTAAAATGTCTTGCTGATGTTGGTAAATGCTTTTTACATTCAGAAAAAGTTGGAACAGAAAATTACAACCTTTCAAATGTAGCAACTAATTTTATTCAAACCCATTTTTTAAAAAATCTTACATTATGTTTCATCTAAACCTTAGCTAATGCCAATCCTTAATTGCTCTCAAAAAACACATCCATAAATGCATTGGTACCATACTTTGACAGTCTCCCACTAAGATACATGAGCTTATATGACTGTCACTAAAAGGAATGCATAGCTGTAATCCTACAGCTACCCAGCTGCTGGGTTTTGTCTATCTCTTTGGCTTTACTGGGAGACAAAGCGGAGCATCTCAAAGGACCTGGAAAGGTTGGCAAGACAATACATAATATAATGTAAGCATTTTACCAAAGCACTGTGTCTTTGGTATGAACTAATGCAACCATCTGCTTTTCATCACAGAATTTTAATAAGGAAATACTTCTCAGGTTGCAAGTATTTGTGAAAATCTTGAATTTCCCTTGAATCACAGAGTGATATTGCTTTGATCAATAATTGCTATAAGCTTTTCTATTTTATATCAGTTTTGTTTTCCATTGTGTTTGATTGTTACCTTGCATAGATAAATGATTGCTGCCCCAGGATACTTTCACAAACAAGTTGACAGTCTCAGAGGTTTTAATTATCCTGGTTAAATAGAAGTTACTACTACTGCTGCTACTTGATAGGAATTCTAATTAGTATCAAGTCTGTTTTGTTTTTCCTTCTGTGAACTTATTTTAAAGATTAAGTTAAATTATGTTCTGTAAATTGCATCTTTATGATGTAGCTTGTTGACATTAAATCAGGAGCTCATTTTAAACGTTTGCAGAAAAATTTTAGCTACCTAGGTAGTTAGTGTACCTCACTCTGAGGCCCAGCAGGTACCATTAAGTGAGACAAATCTTCCAACACACAGGAAGATTTATACTTACAGAGGAATTACCTCTTATTGGTATACTTTTCCACAGAATAGCCATGACATTGTGTGGACTGTACAGCTTACCCAATTAAAAACATTTTTTTTACATTAGTTTTTCATTTACCAAAACAATAAAAATAATAGCATTGTTACCTCATTTAAACCTGTGCTTATTATTCAGAGGAGTAAAGGTGAGGAAATGATAAACATACTTCATAGTCATAACACTACAGCTGTATTTCCTGGTGTGCACTACTGCTCTGCACAGAATTATTTTTGCATTTGAATATGATTTGAATTGCATGTGCTTTAAGAAATATTAGTCAAGCTGGTTAAATGAAGGGTCAAACTCCTGAATAATTCAAATACGTCTCCAGTGGAAATATCTTGTGTATTGTAGGTATCTAGGTTACCATGTTTATGATAAATTTTTAAATCATTATGGCATACTTGTACATAGAGGTTTAAATGAAACTCGTTAGAGGCTTACTTAGATATACTTCAAAATACAGGCTAAAAAATTACGGATACCATATAGAATTTAAAAACACATTTGTTCTTAGAGTTGCACTATTTTTCTTGTGCAACAGCCTGTTTTCTTAGAACAGAAGTAACTTGGAAAGAATCTAGCCTCATCCTTAATAGAACACTAATAATGCAATACATCATTTTATTAATCCTTTTGTTATGAGTGTAATGCCTTAGGTGGTGGATAAGGTACACTTGCCATAGGAAAATGAGATTGTCTGCACTGGAAACACAATCTATTATTTTTGTTCTGGCTTTGCACTTACAATATAGACATTGTGCAAGGTCTGCTTAGGCTACCCACCATTCAACAAATGACACTTGAGATTCCATCCTTAATATGCTTTCTTCTCCTGTTATTTCTTATGTGCCACTGGGAAAGAGGGCTGCAGTCTGCTGTGCTATCTGAAACACAGCTCAAAACCTGATTTTTTCTAAATATACACAAAGAATCTGCATGGCAACCCGTAAATCACATGAATGATAATTCAGCAGCTGTAAATGGACTCTACATGAACAGCAACCTACTGCTTCCCATACAAGCTATGCCAGAAAAAATTGTTATGATGGTGAATTAATAATAACCCTCCAAATACAACATGGTTTAAGACTACTTGCTTCTATTGGTTTTAGAACAGACAAAAACTAAAACTTTAAATGGAGAGGGACTTCACTAATATTTGTTCTTATTTCCAACCTTTGGAGTGCACCACTGGGCATATATATATATATGTGTATATATATATGCTCACTGGACATATACAGCACAAAAGATGTTTACATTACTCTCTAAACAAAACAAGAAAACAGAAAATTTGTTTTCTCTTGCCTGACTTGCTTACAACTAGACATCTCAGAGGCAGGCCTCTTAATCCTGAGCCTATACTGAGCCATTACAAAATACTGTGCAATCAAAAGATAGCATACTATCTCTTAATTCATTTAGGCACTTACATTCTATTTTTCTTTAATATTTGAGAAGTCAACTTACCTGACAAGTGAAAGCTATTGGGTCAGCCACTTTCTTTAAAATAGGTTCAATTTCCTCTAGTGCAGTGTAGTATTCAATCTGTGCTGTCATCTTAATGACTCCCCCACAGTAGACATTTACATACACAGGGCCAGTGGGAAAATCTTATAAAACACAAATCAGAACACCAGCTGAAAATATTTTACAGTCCCAGACCAGAGATCTTGGAGAATGAGTAAAAGAACAGAGAATATCACAGAAAAAGCATAGAGTTGATGAACTGACTGGATTTGCATTTCACAGATGATTCAATGTAGTCAGTTTTTTTATTCAGGTCTTTCACTCTATCATCACAAGGCTGACAAAAGAAAATACCTATCTTTAAATCTGTATAAAGCAAAGCTATTATATTGCTTCACAGTAGAAAGGAGACAAAAACAGAATGCTTAAAATTTCCAACTGTCCTTTGATAGACCAATGACCTATAACCAGCTCCTTTTATGCCTACATGTAAAAGAAAAGTTCATTTATCACAAACAGTGCAAATGCTATTCATCTTATGAAACATTTTTCTTAACTGCAGTCAAGGTTCTCAAAATTGTATTTGAGCTAGGCTGCAGAAATTGCAGTATAATTAATCCATTCCACTTGTTTACTTCATAAAAGCCAAGGAGAGAGGCACTTGTAGTCTATTACTTAAGTATGAGTCGCTCTGTGCATGCAGCACAAGCCTACTTTATGAGCACATTTCCCAATCCATTAGTGTTTCTTGTGCCAGGCATTCTGCTGGACCATATTAGCACAGTCATCTTAAAATACTAACTCTGCCCACAAAGCAGTGAAAAAAGGGGCAATTCTGAAAATGGAGAAGAGGAATAGGGCCAGTGAAACTAGACTAATAGTACATCACGTTAAATCACTTAAAAGGAAACTGCCCAAATAAGCCCAATAAAAGCAACAAAACACAGCACTTCTGTGACATCAGATCAGATGGACCTAAAAGAGGTACTTCCAAATTTCCACTTTTCCAGATTTTAAAACAGAGTAAACATCAAACACAAATGATACAAGAAACATAATTAAACTTGGCTACAGCTCTTTGCCAACTTTTCCATATTTCATTAACTTTTCACATTTTATTTCTTCACCTACTACAGATACCTTTTTGTGATCGAGAGTGCTCTCACAAAAAAAAAAATTGGAAGAATCTTTTAAGATCTGTGCATGTAGAGAGAAGTTTTTGTTCTCTGAAATGCAGTCACAGATGGAAGTTGCCTGTTTGTTATGTATTTTCCAGTCAGTTTTTCTAAAAACAAACTCTCTGCACCATCAAAATGATAAAGAACTCTCATCCCATACACGGCCATTGTCTCAGGACAGTCGTCAGGAGAAAAATCACAGAAGCAATTAGATTGGAAAAGACCTCCAAGATCACTGAGTTCAACTTCTGACCAACCACCAACCTGTCAACAAGACCATGGCACATGTGCCACATGCAGTCATTTCTCAAACACCTCCCCGGGCAGCCTGTTTCAATGTTCAACAAATGTTTCTGTGAAGAAACTCCTCCTGATACCCAACCTGAACCTCTTCTGGCACAGCTTGAGGCCATGACCTCTTGCCTGTCAGAGGTTGCCTGGGAGAAGAGATCAAATCTCACCTGGCACAGCCTCCATTCAGGTAGGTTGTAGAGAGTGATCAGCCTTTTCTCCAGGCTGAACAATGCCAGCTCCCTCAGCCACTCCTCATGTGAGTTACTCTCTAGATCCCCAGCTTCACTGTCCTTCTCTGGACACAACCCAGCACTTCAGCATCCTTTTTAAAGCGTGGGGCCCAGAACTGGACACAGCACTCAACTGGTGCAGTCTCACTAGTGCCAAGTCACAGAAATCATCAGGTCACAGAATTAACCAAAACATACCTCCAAGAAGCCACAGTGGAAAACTGTAGCCTATGTGTATGTATTTCTTCCTATCTAAGGTTATATTGCAATCATTTTGTAATAAAATGTTATGTAAGTTCCTCTGGGAATTCATAGCATGCAGCCCAATTTCAAACTATACTCTGAATACATAGATGAGAAATGTTTTAATTCTTAACTCACATCAAGAATGGGGATAGGTGTGCCCCTTAAATCTGCACAGATCCTCATTCTCTTCACAGAGAAACTGTTAAATAGTTGAAACAGTTATCAACTAATTATGGATGCAATAGAAAAGATCATTAGGAACTAGCAAAGATGAGTGATACAGAGAAATGGCATGAATGTGAACAGAGAAAAGAAACTATTTCCTGCATCTGTAAGAATTATGGAGAAGATAATACCCAGATTTACTGCGTTAAATATAAAACGAGACATTTAGTAACAGAGTAATAAGAAAGGAATATTAGGTTTGCATTTTATGGCAATTTTGAAAAATGTTAATCTGCAACTAATCAATGACATTTTAAGACTGCCACCTGCAATTTAACCACAGAAAACCAATCTTTTAGAACCTAGGTTCCCATAAATCACAAGGCCTTGTTTCTCTGCATTATTAAAACTTATGTGTGCAAAACTTATGTACAGGAAACACCCACAAAATAGCAGAAAGGGAAACTACTTACCAGAAAAAGTGAAGGGAATTGAAACATTTTAGTTTTTCTTAAAGGTAAATAATATTTTTCTTACCTAGGGCTTTCACATATTTGACTTTCTTGTTCCAAGAGGCTGTCCATGTTCTAATTCGTTGATTATCTCTTATGAATTCAATTTCTAGAGTTTCTTCATCTATTTTTTCTTTCAACAGAATGAATATTTCACCAGGGTTCTACAAAATTAAAATGTGTTCCCATTAGTCCTTCAGAAAATTATATTGGAAGTGCAACATTATACTGAAAGTATATTGAAATAACTTTCCCTTTACCAACAACTTCCTTTACCAACTCCCTCTGAAGTATAAGGCCCACACGACAGTAATACTTCAACTCAAGCTGCTAAATAACTCTATTAGAGCTGTCTCCAAACTACATTACTTGCAAATCTTTTGACTGAAGTGTGGATGCAACAAATGGCAAAATAAATCCCGCTGCAGTCTCAATGCACTCTCATTGTCCCTTGACAATTTTGGAAACAAATAGCAGATATAGCATGAATGAGATTGCAGAAGGAGGAGAAGAACAATGACTGTTGTCCCAAAGATTTTAGCATCCAGAAGCCTTACCTCACATGATATTCTTCTTGGAAGCACCAATATTGACTGCTCGTTACTTTCTGATCTTTCAGAAAGTACCTCTGTTTTGAAAGTGAGGTCTGTTTTTTCTGATGCTCCCCTGACATCTGACAAGTTAATATCAGAGATATTCTGGTAATCTGAAATAAATAATATAAAATGAGAACATTGTTAATAATCCTAAACCAACAAAACATGGCAATGCTGTGGTTTCCAATGTATTACTCATATGGCATTTGGAGTCACATGAAGGACAGCACATGAAAGCCTCACAAAATTCTCGTAATGTAAATGTGATGAGATGTCCTCCTTTGATACAGAGCTTGCCCCTGCAGTTTTGATCCTGCAGGCTTGGTTTACATGAACAGGCTCTGCACATATGCATTGTCTTCCTGAAACAAAAAGGGATATAGCCTTTAGACTGAAATTGTTGTGAACAGTAAAGTCAGGGAGATCAGCCAGTTCTGTCACCTCGGTATTCTCATACACTAGGATAAAACATTATTTTTACCATTCTTCCTTTCTTCAGATGTAAACAAGCACATGCTATAGGTTTACAATATCAACCTACTTGTCTACAGGAAGGGTTTGCATGAGGGCAGTGATACCTGTAATATGGTACTATGACAGTAGGCACAGATTTCTTTGACACAGACTCCATCACCTTTGCCTGCTTTAATGGACAAAAGGATAGATGGAAGCCATACATTTTTTAAATACGATAATCTGTGTTTGGAAATGCTGTGCCAGTTATGCAGGTAGCTTGCAATCAGTTTCTTTTCTGTTTTGCTGTACCAGAAAAGGCCTGTGATAAATGTGATTCGTGCTAATTAAATTATAACTATATTA